GGGGGCGCTGACTGTGCATCTTGGCGTGCCTCCGCGGCCGCAGGGTTGGATCGCTCAGGCCTCCTGCGGAAGCTCAGCCGGGCTGGAGGCAGGTCCCCAAGTCTCCGGGCATCAGGGCTCAGTCCGAGAGTCCCAAAGCGGGCGGGCGGGCAGGCGGCTGGGGTGAGCCCCGGACCAGTTCGTGGCCCGGTAGCTTGGATTTGGCGCTTTCGCCCTGTGGATTCGGTTTGGCGGGATGCCAGAGGGGCTGTTTGTGTCTGAGTGTGCGTGTGTGAGGGAGGGGGATTGACTAGAAATCCTGCCTCCCCCCTCCGAGTTCAGAACGAGTGGAGGAAATGAGAGGTGCCATACAGGCATCATACAGGATGCCATGGGCATCCGCGGGCTTGGGCAGGAGCAGCTCGAGGGTGGGAGCCCCGGTAAGCCCGGCCCTTCCTGGAAGGTCCCCTATTCTCCCCATTCCACCCTGCCCCGTTGCTCCAGATGTAACAAGTTACTCAGTGTGGCTCTTCCGCCCAAGGCGTTGTAATGCTCCAGTCTGCAGGGTGCCTGAGGGTCTGCATCTGTGTGGCCCAGACTAGAGGTGATGACAGCCCGTACCTCGTATATGCTACCCCCCAGCAGGTGCCTTGATGCTGGCCAGTCAGGTGTCCTGGCCTCTCCATCTCAGGGCTACACCCCACTCCCTAATGGGCCCTACCCCCCTGGGCACCCAGGATGTCTACCTGTATCGTAGCCAGAGCTACTACATGGCAGGAGCCTCTGGCTCACCAGTTTTTGCTAGTTGATCGTGCCACACAGTGTCACTGGGCACAGCTGGAGGTGCAAGGAGAAGGGCAGGCTCGTGTCTTTTGCCTTACATTTCATGTAACTTTGTTCTTCAGAGTAAATGCCCTTTGCTAACTTCCTAGCTGATGCCATTTCATTTTTATGGCTTTTTAAAGCTTTCAAATAAAATATTACAAGTAGGGGAGCACCTTACTCCTACGTCGTTCCAATTTATGGTTCGGAAATACTTCTGCCCTCTAAGAGTTGGTAGTTTCTTTTGGAGAGAAAGCAATAAGCCACAGAACAGACCTGATGGTGGCTCGTGTGGTTGACATAGTAAGTGCTGAACGTGTAAAACTGCCTGCTGAAAACCGTTTTTTCACAGACTGGCTCACTGGCTGCCTATTTCGCTTGCTGTGTTCTGTGTTGGCCATGGCTGCTAGTTTCCAGCAGAAAATCTTGGTGGCTGAGCGAATTTGTGACCCAGAAAGTAGCAACTAAGTGCCTGGGATGCTGACTGGAGGCGGGTGCGTGCTCTGAGGTAGGTTCTGGTTCTACTAAAGCACGTCTTCGCCCGAATCCTTAGTCCCCACTACCTCAGGGTCATAAATATCAGTAGCCGCAGTATCCGAGGGGGTTCAGGTGCCAGCCAGGGGCATGGTCTGTGAACTCTGGGGTCGATGGCAGAGTCCAGCATTTCTTTTTTTTTTTTTTTAAAGATGACCGGTAAGGGGATCTCAACCCTTAGCCTGGTGTTGTCAGCACCACGCTCAGCCAGTGAGCGAACCGGCCATCCCTATATGGGATCCGAACCCGGGGCCTTGGTGTTATCAGCACCGCACTCTCCCGAGTGAGCCACGGGCCGGCCCTAGAGTCCAGCATTTCTTTTTTTTTTTTTTTTTTTTAAAGATGACCGGTAAGGGGATCTCAACCCTTAGCCTGGTGTTGTCAGCACCACGCTCAGCCAGTGAGCGAACCGGCCATCCCTATATGGGATCCGAACCCGGGGCCTTGGTGTTATCAGCACCGCACTCTCCCGAGTGAGCCACGGGCCGGCCCTAGAGTCCAGCATTTCTGGCAGAAGAATAAGTCGGTCAGTCTCTGGGTAAATTTCCCACGGAGATGGTGGCGTGCACAAGTGCGCATCATGTGGCAGCACTCAGCGTCCTGAAGTGTGCAGCCTTGTCTGCATGTTTACAGGAGGGGTAGCAGGGAATGGCTTGGCAACTGTGGTTTTGAAAGTAAAACCATGTGTATACCTGGGGCTGTGATGGCTGTAGCTCTTGGAGAGTGCTGGACAGGGTGGCCTACCCCGGAGCCCCTCCACACTCACTGGGCCATGGCTCCTGCGCGGCTGTGGACTGTCTTTGGCTTCCTTGTCTCTGGAGGCTTCGGCCAGGTTGGCATGGGAGCCTGGGCCAGCCTCGGGCATCTGTGCTTTCCACAGCGGCCTCCAGCCCAGAGCTCACTGGCCATGGGCAGGCGGGAGCCAGCTTTGCAGAGTGCTCAGGGCTCACAGGTTCCTTCCTCTGCCTAGAGATTTGCGGGGTTAGGATAGGAAGGTGGGAGTGGGCAGCTCAGAGGCCTCCTGCTCTCCAGGAAGGGCTGGACGTGGGCGGTCATCAGCAGCCTGTGGCAGTGCACGTCCAGGGAGGAGGCAGCAGTGATGAGGGGCCCTAGGAGGAGCATCTGTCCCAGAGGGTCTGATTGGGCCCGTCAGCCCATCTCCATGACGGCCGCCACTCTCACCTCATCACATGTTCCTCATCTCAGGTGCCTCTGGGCAGGTGGTACTCACTGGAGGTCTGCGGCATGGCCAGCCTGGTGCACAGTGCTGTCCAGGCATCCAGGCCGCTTCCCAGCCTTGCTCAGAGGCTCGGGCACAGCAGGCCCATGGTCCGCTGTTCTTGGGCCTGCAGCCAGGGCCCTCAGGGGGCCAGCTTTGCCCAGACTCAGCCCCCAGCCTGGAAATGCCTGTCCATGTCCCAAGGAGACAGTGAGGGCTAGGGAAGCCCAAGGGACGATCCGTTTGGCAGCAAGCTCCGTTCTCAGATGGCCAGGCTGCCTGTGAGACCACACAGCCCCGAGCTCTTGTGAGCGGTGCAGACAGAGCAGGCCCTTCACAGGTGGTCAGGATGACCATGCCACCCTAAAAAGGTACACTCTGTCCCCAGCTCCCTGTGAGGAGAGACCCCCCAGATGGAGGGGAATAAGAGGGTCCCCTTCCCCCAGCCTGTCTGGGGCTCAATGCCGCCCCCCTGCTCCCGACCCTATTCCCTGCCTCACTCACTGCCCCCACCCCACACACCCCTGATGAGAGCTTTTGAGTTGAGGTCGTGAGCCCTCAGTCCAGAGTGCTGGGAACCTGACAGCAGGTGGAATGTGATCCGTGATGACATTTTAGGCTCTGGGGACAGCAGTGACAAAGACTAGGTGGAGGGGGCAGGAAGGAGGTAGGTGGAGGGAGGTGCAGAGCTGCCTAGAAAGCCCCCCTCGAGAAGGTCTTAGAATGCTGAGCCCAAGTGTCCCCTGGCTGTCCCTGCAGTGACTGTGTAGGGGGGGAGGCAGCAGAGAGGCGTTGCTGGAGGTGGTGCTCAGATGAGGAGGCCCAAGCCAGGGTTACGTCATGCTGTACAGAGGGTGCTGCCTCTGAAGCAGAGGACAGACCCTAAGACCTCTGGGGATGGGGGTATGGAGGGGAGGCCCCAGGGAGGCCCCCAGGCCACAGGCACTGCCAGGGCTGGGCTTCTCTGTGCTTACACGTCTCAGGCTTAGGGAGGTGCTGTGGAATGAGTCGGCACACTGAGCTCCCCTGCCTGTGCTCCTGTGGGCTTCTCCCCTCTTGCTGGGGCAGCCCTGGGCAACAGGGGGTGCTGGTTCAGGACACGAGAGGTATGGCTGGAGAGGAAGCCTGACCAGTGTCCCAACTCTTGAGGGCTCCCATGAGGGGCAGCCATTGGGAGTTTGCTGGCTGAGGCTAGAGGAGAACTATCTCGCTGTGCTAAAAATACTGGCATGACTAAAGACGTGCTGGTCAGAGGCACAGGCTACTTTGTCACTGGCTGGACTGCCCTGGGGACCTAGCCTGGCACCCCACTGGAATGGTCATAAGCAGAGGCCTGGTCCTCATTTCCCACAAACCTAGATGGACACCCTGCACCAGGACCTCTACTCTCTGCCTGTTCTCCCAAGGGCAGGGCTGGGCACAGGCTTGCTCCCATGCTTGCCCCTGTGTCTCTCTGGGAAAGGTCCAGCAGCATGTGGCCAGCGGGACCATAAGCAGCAGGTGGCAGGTGTGGCAGCTGGCCTGGGTCACGCTGGCTCTGGCTGAGAGGCCAGGCTCACCCCGTCTGCATAATGACCCTGGTGCCAGCTTGCGGCACTTGGGTTTTCTCCTGCTCCAAGTCCTCCATCTCAGGGATGGGCCAGTTTCAGGGCTCAGCAGGGGGGTGCCCCTGCCAGCAGAGACCTCCAGCTGGGTCTGTCTGCCCATGAAGATTCCTGCCCCTGCTAAGCGGGAGTGTCCCCACAGCTGTGCCCAATTCTGGTGGGTTCCTGGCAGGGAGGAGGGTGTATGCAGTTCTGGCTGAGTCAGCAGCCTGGCGGGGGCGCTGTGCCCCTAAGGAGCAGTGCCAGCAGGCTGTTACCTCAGCCTTGCCCGCCTCCACCATGTCTGCAGGGATGGTCCCTGTTAAGAGGCTGCGGGTGGGGAGGCTCAGCCTAGGCTGTGCCCGCAGCTTTCCTGGAGCTCCATGAGCAGAGCTGAAGTCACTGCCAGGACCCAGGGAGCAAGAACCCAGCATAGCCTGCCCCTGCAGCTGGTGGCCCTGAAGACCAGGCAGTGAGAAGCTGCTTGGCCTGGCCTGGAGAAAGAGGGGTGACCTCCCTCCAAGACAGCTGCCAGTGGGGATGGGAGGGTCTCCAGAGGAGAGTCAAGGGCCATCACCAGAGACAGGCCACAGAGAATCTGCCAGACTCAGCTGCTTGTGCTTGGGGTGGACGCAGTCAGCACACAGTGTTTGGGAGGAGTAGAGATGACCTGGGCAGGCCAGGCCCTCGGGATGTGGGGTCTGCTGGCCAGCATAGGAGCCGAGTACGGATTCCCTTTTCTTCATGTTTCATGTGTCCTCCCAGCCTTTCAGTAAACGTGGAGACTGGTAGGGGCCCGGCCAGACAGCTCAGCAAGTGGACATGCAGGCTACCCTCAGGGGCCCTGCTCTCGTGGGCTTACTGTCCGACTGAGGGGATCTGTACCACGGGCCCCCGGGAGGGTGTGCGGGTCACCCTGAGTGGTGGCTGTGTACCTGGCTGTGTGTGTGGGGGGGCGCAGCCGAGGAAAGGGAGAGGCTGCTCTGGCCACCCTGTGTCAGACACTTGTGTTCTGTGGAAGGAAGCAGCAGCCCCTGGTGCTGGAGCCTGCCCTGGCCCCAGGCCCTAGTGCCACATCTTAGCAGGGTCTCCAGAGGTTATGAGGGGAGGTCAGCCGAGGAGCGGCAGGGGATCCCCGTAGTCAGATGATGGGTTTCCCTGAAGAAGCAGATCCCAGCCGTTTGGCAGAGGCTCCTCATTAGCCACTAGGCAGGGAAGGCTTCTGCTTTTAAAAGGTCTGCCATTTCCATGGAGGCACCAGTGGTCCTGGGCGGGGTGCGGAGGGAGAACTGCAGAGGCCAGGCTGGCCAGGAGGTTCGTGTCCTTGAGCATCTGAGGGAGGCATAAGCGTGGACACCCAGGCGAGGTGTGGCCCAAGGGCCCAGCCCTGTGGCACCACCCCTGTGCTGGACACAAATTTCACAGTAGGGTTGGGCTCTCACCTGGGCCTTGCTCTGGGGACAACCTGTGGCCTCGGGCCCCTACTGCTGGCTGTGGAAACCAGATGCTGAGCCAGAGTGGGAGTGAGGGGCAAAGCCTGGCCCCTCCTCACTGCCCACCCGCAGCCTCGCCTGGGCCAGGTGTCTCCTGAGCTGGCCAGGCCTGGGATGCAGTGTCCAGCTGGGGGTGGGGCAGTGCCCGAGTGGAGCGGTGGCACGTGGTGCACTTCCCTTGGTGCTCCCCAAGCCCTGCACTGGCCTCAGTGTCCTGTGGCTGAACAGAGCCACCAGGCCCTGACTGGAGCTGGCAGGGCCTCTGCGGCTGGCAGCATCCTGTCTGATCCGCAGCTGCACCCACCCAGCCTCAATGTCCCTCCAAACTCCGACGAAGGCCAAGAACATGAGTCTGGAGTGAGACTGCTGTGTCCCCCAGCTCTGCATCAGGCAGCATCCCTGGGCTGACTCCTTCCCTAGCCACCGTCCTGACGGTTAAATGAAGAGTGAGGTGGTGGTTGCTGTCTCTGTCCCCGAGTCCTAACCCTCTTCACTGTCTTAGAAATCCATTCATGTCATTAACAAGACTTTACTGAAGAATAGCATGACACAGAGAGTGCACTGGCTGTGGGTGGCCCTCATTTGCACAGTGAACACGCTTGGAATAGACACCTGATCGTGCGCTGGCACATCCTGGGTCCTGGAGCCCATGCTGTCTGTGTCACTGGACTTGCTCACCCCCTTTGCAAAAGTTCTACGAATGGAGTCGCATAGTGAGTGCTCTTTGCTACTTCCCTCCAGTGTCCGTTTGTGAGCTTCACGCTGCTGTGGCATGTGGCAAGGTGGGTTCATGTTCTGTCAGGGGCTAACCCCCGAACCCCACATGAGCACCCACCTCACCTTGGAGGACACAGGGAGGTGCTTCTGTGAATGCATCACAGGGTGGCCGTGCCACAGTTCCTCTGCCAAGGCCCCCACAGTACTGTGTGACCTCGCTGCACCATCCCCTGATGTGTAGCGCCGAGGGTGGTGTCCCACCCATGAAGTGTCCATAGAAGCCGTGTGTGTTAGTTGCCCAGGGGTGTGTGTTCTGGTGTTTTGCCCATTTTTTTCTCTGATTTTTTCATGTAGATCTGTAGGGGTCCTTAACACACTCTAGATAAGGTACCTGAGGGGTGTGTGCACTGCAGGTACCTTCCTGCATGTGCCACTGCGCTCTCAGTCTTTAGTGATGTCTTGTGAACAGTAAGTCTTAAGTGCAGGCCGACTTATCCATTGGCCCCCCAGGAAAGTCTGCTCTTTTCCGACTGCTCTATCATCTCTCATACTGACATCTACAACCCAAATCCATTTATTTATTTATTTATTTATTTTTGTCTTTTGTCTTTTTCCGTGTCCGGCAACGGATCGCAACCCTCAGTGTCGCCCCCGCACCGGACCGGGGACCGGCAATGGGATCGCAACCCTCGGTGTTGCTCCCGCGCCTCGCTCAGCCAGTGAGCGGGAACCGGTCTGTATGTGGGATCCGAACCCTCGGGTGGGAGCGCCGCCGCGCTTCCTAAGCGGCGCACTTATCCAGCGCGCCACCGGGCCAGCCCGAAATCCATTTATTTTTGAGCAAACATTTGATGATCCACTGCGGGCCAACCACCTAGAATGGAATCCACTCGCGTCAGACGGTCACAGAACCTCTTCCACCAGGGCTGGTCCCTGATCCTGTGGGCCAGCCTGCTGGGGGCTGTGCCACCTCCACCTGCCCCACGCTGCCCCACCCGTGCCCTCCCCTGTGGGCCTTCTCTGGTCACTGCCTCCCCACCCCAGGGCATTTGCACGTGCCTCCTGGCCTCTTTCTGTGTAGCTCTTTGTTATCTCTGCTCCTGGTCCACACGTGTCTCCTGGGCAGTCCTCTCTGAATAGGCAAGGGCCATCCTGCGGGCCAGTGGCCTCCTGATGTGGCCTGAGGGTGCTCCCTGCTTGCAGGTCCCCGAGAAGCCCTGCACGCCATGGACCCGGATCCCCAGGCGGGTGTGCAGGTGGGCATGCGTGTGGTGCGTGGCATGGACTGGAAGTGGGGCCAGCAGGACGGTGGCGAGGGCGGCGTGGGCACGGTAGTGGAGCTCGGCCACCATGGCAGCCCCTCGACCCCCGACCGCACGGTTGTCGTGCAATGGGACCAGGGCACCCGCACCAACTACCGCGCTGGCTACCAGGGCGCACACGACCTGCTGCTCTACGACAATGCGCAGATTGGTGCGTGTGGCGGGGAGCGGGGGAGGGGAGGAGACAGTGGGGGAGCGTTCCTGACCCCGCCTCCCCCACAGGCGTCCGCCACCCCAACATCATCTGCGACTGCTGCAAGAAGCACGGGCTGCGGGGCATGCGCTGGAAGTGCCGTGTCTGCTTCGACTATGACCTCTGCACGCAGTGCTACATGCACGGCAAGCACGACCTTGCCCACGCCTTTGAGCGCTATGAGACGGCCCACTCGCGCCCGTGAGTCCCCGACCACCCCACCACAGCAGACAGGCCACCAGGGTCCTGGGTAGCTGACATTCGGGGCCTTCGACAGGCGCCTTGGACACCAAGGACTGGCGCTGCATCATCCCTTCCTGAGCCATTTCCTTGAAGAATGGCCAAGGTCATGGTCACTCCAGGGGCCTGGGCATTGACACCAGTCCCCACCCCTTGGGGAGGGCAACATGTCCACCAAGCAGATCTGCAGAGGCTGGTGCTGGGGTCAGGGTCTCCTCTGTCCCAGCACCACACTAGAGCCGGCAAGGCTCCCCAGTACTGCTGTGGGCCAGGTGCTGAGGGTGGCCTGGGAGGGGTCTCCGCTAGGCAGGGGCAGATGCCCAGAGGCTTCACCCTTTGTCCTCTTTGTCTGCTTGGCCCTCCCTGCACGCAGAGGGTGTGTGTGCTGTGCCCCAGCTGTCTGCCGGCCAGCCTGCTTTCCTCATCCCCCCTTCCCACATGCCAAGGTCTTCTCTGAGCCAGGCCAGGGCCTGCTTTGCTGGGAGGCAGCAGGTGTGGTGTGACTGCACACAGGCCATGTGGCACCGGGAAAGATCCCCTGAAGAATGCAGGCAGCAGGCTCGCTCCTGGCCCTGAGCCCAGGGGCATCGGATGGCTCCCCTGGAGCCCCCTCCCAGAGTGTGGAGGACGCTGCCTGCTGGGACCCCCATCCTGCAGACCCCACCTGGTGTGAGCAGGAGCTGGGGTGGGGGAGTGAGACTGGACAGGAACCTGCACCTTTGCATCTCTCTCCTACGTGGCTCTAAGACCTGCTGTCTTGCAGTGTCACACTGAGTCCCCGCCAAGGCCTCCCAAGGATCCCACTAAGGGGCATCTTCCAGGGTGCAAAGGTGGTGCGAGGCCCCGACTGGGAGTGGGGCTCACAGGACGGTGAGTGGGGGTGTGGGGGGATGGAGAGGTGGGGCTGGGCTGTGGCCAGCTACAGCTCAGCCTCGAGTCACAGTCTTAGCCTGCTGGTGGAAACTGTCTCCCCAGGAGGGGAAGGGAAGCCAGGCCGTGTGGTGGACATCCGTGGCTGGGATGTGGAGACAGGCCGGAGTGTGGCTAGCGTGACATGGGCTGATGGTACCACCAACGTGTACCGTGTGGGCCACAAGGGCAAGGTGGACCTCAAGTGTGTGGGCGAGGTAGCCGGTGGTTTCTACTACAAGGAGCATCTCCCAAGGCTTGGTATGGGGCTGTCCCCACGCACTCCATCTGTCCTCCTGCCCTGGCTGGGCAGGGGTTGGCCATAAAGTCCTGGAGGGGAGGGGATGCTCCCTGAGGCCTGGACTGCCGCCTTCCACCAGGCAAGCCAGCAGAGCTGCAGCGCAGGGTGAGTGCTGACGGCCAGCCCTTCCAGCATGGGGACAAGGTCAAGTGTCTGCTGGATACAGACATCCTGAGGGAGATGCAGGAAGGCCATGGTGGCTGGAACCCCAGGATGGCAGAGGTGAGCTGCCTGCCTGCTGAGCCCCCCGGGCCCTCTGCTCCCCAGCCCTCTCCTCCCCCAAGAGCCCAACCCGACCCAGCCACAGCCTCCATGCCCCACCACAGTTTATTGGACAGACGGGCACCGTGCACCGCATCACGGACCGCGGAGATGTGCGTGTGCAGTTCAACCAGGAGACCCGCTGGACCTTCCACCCTGGGGCTCTCACCAAGGTGCAAGGGGGGGGGCTGGGCCGAGCCCCATCCGCTCACTCTGTAACCCTCTCCATGTACCTGCTCGGCTCTGGGAGAGGTCAGGCAGGGCTAGGGTGCCGGCCTCCACCCAGGAGACCCCAGCCCTGAGGGAAGGGGAAGGCCTGGCGAGTGGAGCAGGGTTGAAAAGAGGGGATTTGGGTGTGAGGGACCAGAGGCGAGCAAGGCAGCAAGAGCCGGTGAGGCAGGAGGGGGCAGGCCTGGGGTGGGGACACAGGAGGCCAGGACAGCACTGTCTGGTGGCAGGTCGCTGGGCAGGCTCTCTAAGATGCTCTCCAGGGTGGCTTGGGGGCAGATAGGAGTGGCCTGTTGGGGCCACAGGGAGGTGGACGCTTGCCCAGAGCAGTGGGGACTGAGTGAGGTGTACGAGGTGAGAGCCAACCCACAGGTGGGGCCCTGGGAGGCAGCAGGTCTGGGCAAGGGTACAAGCCAGGCTCAGCTCTGGACCTGGAGTCCAGGACACCGGGGGACTTGGAGGAGGGGCGTGGGAGTAGCAGGATGGGTTAGTAGAGTGAGTGCGCTGGTGATGAGGGCACAGGTGGAAGGAGGAGCCGCACTGCCCCGCCCCTGTGACCCCGGCCACCCCTTGCCCTTCTCCCCAGCCTTGGCCGTGCTGCAGCTGTCCCTTCGGTGTGCAGGCTCCCCAGGGAGTGGCACCTCAGTCTCCACACCTCCCCAGAGCTGGCTTTTGTCTGGTGTGGGCGCTGCTGCTCAGCTGCTTCTGGCCATCACCCTTGTGGTTCTAGGGTTAGGCCACCCAAGGCTGCCTTGGTCACCTGTGGCCAGCCAGACCCTCTGGTTGTTCTTGGGAGCAGGGCTGGAGCCAAGTTCACGCCTACCTGTCCTGGGGCCCTTGATGGGCTCGCTCTTCTGGTGCACGACCCTGGGTAGCCACCCGTGGCTGGGGGGGCGCCTTACTTGCCTCTCTATTGCTCAGCACAACTCCTTCTGGGTTGGAGATGTGGTCCGGGTCATCGACGACCTTGACACAGTGAAGCGGCTGCAGGCTGGCCATGGCGAGTGGACGGATGACATGGCTCCTGTGAGTGACCCGTCTCTGTCCCCATCCCCATACACACCTCAGACCTGCTGTGACCCTGCCTCTCCCCCTCAGGCCCTGGGCCGCATCGGGAAAGTGGTGAAGGTGTTTGGAGATGGGAACCTGCGTGTGGCAGTTGGTGGTCAGCGGTGGACCTTCAGCCCCTCTTGCCTGGTGGCCTACCGTCCAGAGGAGGATGCCAACCTGGATGTGGCTGAGCGTGCCAGGGAGAACAAAGGTGAGGCACTAGCACAGGCGGCCGGTGGGAGGCGGAGCTGCCCCTGCCACTGCTTACCTCAGCCCTGCCCCCAGGCTCACTGAGCATGGCCCTAGACAAGTTACGGTCCCAGAAGAGTGACCCGGAGCACCCAGGGAAGCTGGTGGTGGAGGTGGTACTGGGCAACGTGGCCAGGGCTCTGGACCTGCTGCGGAGGCACCCAGAGCAGGTGAGCTCCCTGCTCCCACTCCATGCCAGCCAGCCCGCCCAAGGGCAGGGGGCTGGGGACTTACCTGCTGGCTCCCCTGGCAGGTAGATACCAAGAACCAGGGCAGGACCGCCCTGCAGGTGGCTGCCTGCCTGGGCCAGGTGGAGCTGGTGCGGCTGCTGCTGCAAGCAAGGGCAGGCATGGACCTACCAGATGACGAGGGCAACACCGCGCTGCACTATGCGGCTCTGGGGTGAGGTCTGGTCAGGGGCTGTGGGCTGTGCATTGAGATTGGAGGCCCAGCTAGTGGGCACAGCTCCGCTTCCTCTCCCATTAGGAACCAGCCTGAGACCATCCGGGTGCTCCTGAGCGCGGGGTGCAAGGCAGACACTCTCAATGGCACGCGCAACACGGCACTGCACGTGGCCGTGCAGAGGGGCTTCCTGGAGGTGGTGAGGGTCCTGTGTGAGTGCGGCTGTGATGTCAACCTGCCTGTGAGTGCCAGTTCCCAGGTACCCTGATCTCAACCGTGGGGTGCAGGGGGCAGCTTGATCCCAGAAGTCACTGCTGAATGAACACTGATCCCCAACTTCAGGATGCTCATGCCAACACACCTCTGCACTCTGCCATCTCGGCGGGTGCCGGCGCCAGTGGCATTGTGGAGGTCCTCACAGAGGTGCCAGGCATTGACGTCACTGCCACCAACAGCCAGGGCTTCACGCTGCTGCACCACGCGTCCCTCAAGGGCCATGTGCTGTGAGTGTGGGGCGGGCACACTGCTGAGCCACCTGGAGCCAGCTCCAGACCCCGGACAGACCTCCCTGCTCCCACAGAGCCGTCAGGAAGATCCTAGCACGGGCACGGCAGCTGGTGGACGCCAAGAAGGAGGATGGCTTCACCGCGCTGCACCTGGCTGCCCTCAACAACCACCGCGAGGTGGCCCAGATCCTCATCCGGGAGGTGCGGGCAGGGTCCCGACCTGCACAGGGACTGGGGAGGGGGGATCCACTGGCATCCCTGTGCTGAGCCTGTGCCCACCCCCCATCCCCAGGGCCGCTGTGACGTAAACGTGCGCAACCGGAAGCTCCAGTCCCCGCTGCATTTGGCCGTGCAGCAGGCCCACGTGGGGCTGGTGCCTCTGCTGGTGGACGCCGGCTGCAGCCTCGACACCGAAGACGAGGAGGGGAATACAGCCCTGCACGTGGCGCTGCAGCGTCATCAGCTGCTGCCGCTGGTGGCTGACGGGGCCGGGGGGGACCCAGGGCCTTTGCAGCTGCTGTCCAGGGTGAGGAAGGAGGGGGCTGGGTGCTGGAGAGGTGGCTGTGGCACTTAGCTGCAGGCTCTGGCCAGGGCCTGAGCGACTGTCCACTTCCACCTGCCACAGTGGCCCCCGGGAGCCAGCCTTTCTGGTGGTGGGGGGGGCAAAACTGTCAGGTGTGACCGCTGTCACCTGAGATTCTGCACTCTCACTCTAAGCAGCCTGGGGAAGGGGTCGGACGGGGTAGTGTATCCTCTCAGAACGTAGCTTTTCGGGCCGGCCCCGTGGCACACTCGGGAGAGTGCAGTGCTTGGTAGCGCAGCAGCGCTTCCGCCGCAGGTTCAGATCCTATATAGGGATGGCCGGTGCGCTCACTGGCTGAGCGCGGTGCAGGCAACACCAAGCCAAGGGGTTGCGATCCCCTTACCGGTCACAAAAAAAAAAAAGACA